ATAAAGGGCCAAGTCCCCTTACAAGGGGAGATAATCAAGAAAATACAAAAATTGGGTGGGGTCATTAAAAAATCTTCTTCTCAAGAACCACAGGGCCAGAAAAGCTGAAACTTTTTTGGAAGCATTCTTGGGTAGTGTAGATTGTAAATTGTTCAAATCATGACCCCTGGGGATAGGGCGGGACCACAATAGGGAATCCAAGTTTTACATAGAAATATGTAGTAAAATATTTAAAAATCTTCTTCTCAATAACCACTGGGCCAGAAAAGCTGAAACTTACTTGGAAGCATCCTAGGGTAGTGTAGATTGTAAATTTTTCAAATCATGACCCCCGGGGGTAGGGTGGGGCCACAATGGGGAATCCAAGTTTTACATTGGAATATGTAGTAAAAATCTTCTTCTCAAGATCCACTGGGCCAGAAAAGCTGAAACTAATGTGGAAACATTCTTGGGTAGTGTAGATTCTAAATTGTTCAAATCATGACCCTCGGGGGTAGGGCGGGACAACAATAAGTACTACGGTGTGAGGGGGGAAATCAGGTGAAAAACAGCAAGGCCAAAGTTACTCAGGTGAGCGCTGTGGCCCATGGGCCTCTTGTTGACTTGGTCATTTCGGGTTTATGTCTAAGGTTTGAGACATAGAATCTAGAACATCTGTACAAAGATGTGAACTTCAGCTTAAAAGCACTCATTATAACTAAAAAAAATCACCAAGTATTAAAAACAGTTTTTACATTACACAGCAGATAGTGTATATCCATTTGTCCCATGGGAGTAATGAGTGGACATGCACGCAGTTGAAGAATAATTAATGAGTTCATTGTGGGAACTTGTTAGGCTATCTCTGATCAAGCAGTTCTTATCTATATCTCCTGGTAATTGGGCAGAAAGAAATAAAGATCTCTGTTGTCTAAGTCTCTTAATTGTAATTTATGTCTGTCAAAATACATAGTTACTGGAACCAGCCTTTTATTTTTAAAATGAGTTTGATATAAAGGTATTAAGATCAATTTAATTTTGTATAATTAATTATATTTTTTTTTCAACAATCAATTTGCAAAGTGTCATGTCTCACAAAGACGACAGATAGTTGCAAACTATTTTTTCAGTGTAATAAAAACACTGTAATTATTAGTATTGATGTTTTATTAGGCTGCACCTTAGTTTAATTCATTAAAAAAATATAATGAGTAACTAAGTTTTCACTCTAAATGTTTAAGCAAATTGTGAGCACCTCTCACATCTAGAAAACATTATTGATTTGGTACCTTCTCTGAAAAACTCAGCGGAGGGTATTTGTCCCTTTTGGACAGTTCTAGTTTATGAGAGGGATATTAGCTGATGAACTTGGTCAATTTGATGCAAAATATGGATTACAAAATCAGAAGGTATTTTTCACTTTGCAGGAGAGGTTAAACTTTCATTAGAGATGTACATGGAGCTTTGATTTTGATTTAAGATCATTGATGGGGAAAGTAGTGGTTGTTGAACTTCATGATTTTTGGTGCAAAATACTGCTTATTTTGGTACATCATTGGCCTGGATAATCCCTCCAATAGTTTTGAAAGTAAGGAGTTGGAAATTGTTCTGCAGGTGAATTGAACATATTTATATAGGACATATGTTTAGTAGATTGAGTTTGATTTTTGGTCATTGAGAGGGAAATATTAGATGTTGAGCCTAGTCAATAATCTTATGCAAAATATTACCTTTAGGGTACTGCTTCCTACTGTTTTTAAGATAGGACTATTTCATTATGCAAGTCAGTTGTACATATGTAAGAGAGTCACTCAGTGTTTGGGCTTTGTTTTGGATCATTTATGGCAAAATACCAATTGTTTGTATTCTTAATTTTTATACCAACCCTTGGATATAGGGTTCATTTTATTTGTCCAGCTAGTTCCTACAATTCTTAAAGGAAGAATTTTTTCTGCAATATTTTTTTTTACATCATAGATATGCATGGGACCTTGCTTTGGTTTTTGGTCATTGATGAAAAAGATGCAAACCATGCAAACTGTTGAACATGTTCAATTTCAAGGCTCTCAATTCTCTATAATTGGGGCCGTTTGAAGGCCCCATTCCCAATTCAAAAAAGGTACCTTTTTCCCAATTTAATGTTTTAATTTTCCCAATTGGTCACTTCCCCAAATATTATGTTAAAGAAAATAATTTTAAAGAACATTAAGTAAAATATGTAGTTCCTTAACTTGTTATTCATATTTCTCTATATTACAAAATAGAAATTTAGATGATAACCACCAGAAACTCAATATATAATGAATTTAATGGATATTATCTACTTATGATTTCCCAAATTTCCTCAAAAGGTAGCTAATTTTCCCAATTTTCACAGCCCCGGCCCCCATCCCAAAAACTGGTGTGAGATCCCTGAATTTGGTGCAATATATTACTTGAAGGGAACATCTTTGGTGCAGATAATTCCTCCTTCAGTTTTCTGCTAAAGAAGTCCCATGAAAGGGAATATCTTTCTAATTGTTGGAGTCAAATGAACATACAGTAGAGATGAACATGGTACCTGGATTTTAATTTTGGATCATTGATATGATAATGCCAGTTTCTAATTTTAGTCCTTTCATGTGTTTTGTTGCTTACAAGGGTTTCCCAGATATCTCCTTCAACAGTTTTTAAGATATGTTTTTTCTTTCATTTTGCAGATAAAGAAACGTACATCAGAGATGAACACGACGCTTAGACTTTGATTTTTGATCATCTATAAAGGTACCAGTTGTTAAAATTAGTCATTTATATGCAAAATATTTCATATAGGGTTCATCATGTATTAAGATCTCAAAGAGTTTTCAAGATAAGAAGTTTTTACTTTGCAGATCAATTGTACATACATCCAGTGTGTGCTTAGTAGTTGGATTTAGCCTTCTGATCATTAATGGTTAAAAAAGCAGTTATTGAACTTCAGGGGAAAATAGCCATTCTTGCACATGTTTATTTTTATACACAATATTGGATAAAAAGGAAATCATTTTCCCAGAGTACTCCTACAATTGTGGATCAATTATCTATCCCTGAGAAATGTTCATGGTACCTGTATTTTGATTTTTGATCATTTATGAGAGGGATATTAGCTGGCAAACTTGGTCAATTTGATGCAAAATATGGATTACAAAATCAGAAGGTATTTTTCACTTTGCAGGTGAGGTTAAACTTTCATTAGAGATGTACATAGAGCTTTGATTTTGATTTAAGATAATTGAGGCCAGAAAAAATAATAGTCTTGTTTCCTGCTACCCGACCTACCCTAGTTTTTTGCACCCGACCCTAAAGTTTTTTTTAAGTTTTGGAAGAAAAAAAATCAGGAATTTCCGGAATTTCATTGTTCTGTCACCGTAATCGGTTTCCGTATTAACACAAAACAAGCATTTCATGAAATTCTTCTTTTAAATATGGGCTTTCATAAAATCCCACTGCATAAAAAGACATGAAATTTAATTTTTAAAGACAATATTGACCTGTGACATGTTTAGTTTGATCTTATATTAGTTCATATCCAAAAAATGCTGTCAGAAAAAAATAAAATAAAAATATAAAATAAAATAATTTTCCTACCTACCTACCCTATTTTTTTCAGGCTGGTAGCAGGAAACAAGACTATTATTTTTTTTGGCCTGATGGGGAAAGTAGTGGTTGTTGAACTTCATGATTTTTGGTGCAAAATACTGCTTATTTTGGTACATCATTGGCCTGGATAATCCCTCCAATAGTTTTGAAAGTAAGGAGTTGGAAATTGTTCTGCAGGTGAATTGAACATATTTATATAGGACATATGTTTAGTAGATTGAGTTTGATTTTTGGTCATTGAGAGGGAAATATTGGATGTTGAGCCTAGTCAATCTTATGCAAAATATTACCTTTAGGGTACTACTTCCTACTGTTTTTAAGATAGTAATATTCCATTATGCAAGTCAGTTGTACATATGTAAGAGAGTCACTCAGTGTTTGGGCTTTGTTTTGGATCATTTATGACAAAATACCAATTGTTTGTATTCTTGATTTTTATGCCAACCCTTGGATATAGGGTTCATGTTATTTGTGTAGTTAGTTCCTACAGTTCCTAAAGGAAGAATTTTTTCCGCAATATTTTTTTACATCATAGATATGCATGGCACCTTGCTTTGTATTTTTTTTACCCCCGCTCCGAAGGAGAGGGGGGTATACTGTTTTACCCTTGTGTGTCTGTCTGTCTGTCTGTCCGTCTGTCTGTCTGTCTGTCCGTAACAAACTTTGGTCGCAGTTTTCTCAGCAACTACTCATCATAGGTGCTTGAAATTTTAACAAACTCTTTGTTTAGGCATGCCATATGGTGGGATTCATTTTTGTACGAATCTGATGTCAACTTCCTGTTTATCTGTGCGTCTGTCCGTACAATACATAACAAATTTTGGTCGTAGTTTTTTCAGCAACTACTCATTGCAGATGCTTGAAATTTTAGCACAATCTTTGTTTAGGCATGCCATATAATAGGATTCATTTTTGGAACAAATCCGATGTCAACTTCCTGTTTATCTGTGCGTCTGTCCGTACCATACATAATAAATTTTGCTCATAGTTTTCTCAGCAACTACTCATCGCAGATGCTTGAAATTTTTTCTTTGTTTAGGCATGCCATATGTTGGGATTCAGTTTTTACAAATCCGATGTCAATTTCCTGATTATCACTGTGTTTGTCCATAACCGAACTTGTGTATTCACATCAGAGCGGGGGTATTATTAGTGAGCATTGGCTCACAGACTTCTTGTGGTCATTGATGAAAAAGATGCAAACTGTTGAACATGTTCAATTTGGTGCAGTATATTACTTCAAGGGTACATCGTATGTGCAGATAATTCCTCCTTCAATTTAATATATGTTTCTAATTGTTCGAGTTACATTAACATACGATAGAGATGAACATGGTACCTGGATTTTAATTTTTGATCATTGATATGAAAATGCCAATGTCTAATTTTAGTCCTTTAATGTGTTATGTTGCTTACAAGGGTTTTCCAGATAACTCCTTCAACAGTTTTAAAGATATTGTGTTTTGTTGTATCAGAATGTTACAAATTTAGATTATTGCATTTTGCGTTATTACAATCTGCGTCAAGATCAATTGAAAATGTAATAATGCGAAATTTAAAAACATGAAATTTGGATTATTAAATTTTACTTGTAACATTTTGCGTTGAGATTAAGCAAAATGCAACATTGCAGAATGTAACAACACACTTTTTAGTCAGTTAGGTGTGGAATAAATTTTAATTGTTTATTGGATGTGGAAAAGAAATTGAAAGAAAATAAAACAAAAGGGAAAATAAACATTCTAATTCTTACAGTAGATATGATTTTATGGTTTATTGATTTGATTAGCCATTAAAAGTCAGTTGATATTCAAATCATAAGGGTTGCGAATTAGAAAGGTGCGTGCGTATGTGAGTCATTTTTGGGGGTTGGGGGGGGGGGGGTAGTGGGATTAATTTTGTGGAACAGTGTACCAGTTTGCTTTTGCTTTTTGATAGACACATGCAATAAATTTAGAAAAAAATCTATCAATTTGAATTGGCAGGCGAAAATGTAGCGGGGAGGGGGGTTATTGACAATTAAGATTTTATATTGTTTTACAAATCACGTGCATTGCAGAGAATTCCAAAAATAAAGTTCTCTCTCTCTCTCTCTCTCTCTCTCTCTCTCTCTCCAATAATAAAATGGATGGTATCTGCATGCACATAAAAATAAAATGATCACCATATGAAGTAACCCCCCCCCCCCCCCCCCCCCGGGCCCTTTTCGGGTACTATTTGGCTAAGAATCATCAAAATTTGTCAGTTGATGTATCTTGGGTCCTCGGAGTATGTCAACTGAAAAGTAGGTCACCTTGACCTACTTTTCAATTTATATGACTATAATTAAATATTTTGGGTACTAATTGGCTTAGAATAATCAAAGTTTGTCAGTTGATGCATCTTGGGTCTTCGGAGTAAGTCGACTGAAAAAAGTAGGTCACCGTGACCTATTTTTGAAAATTTATGGCTTTAATTAAATATTTTCAGGTACCAATTGGCTTAGAATCATCAAACTTTGTCAGTTGATGTATCTTAGGTCCTCTGAGTACGACAACTGACTACTTTTCAATTTATATAGCTATAATGAAATATTTCGGGTACTAATTAACTTAGAATCAACAAACTTTGTCAGTTTGTGCATCTTGGGTCCTTGGAGTAAGTTGACTGAAATGTAGGTCACCGTGACATACTTTTGAAATTTTATTGCTTTATTTAAATATTTTTAGGTTCTAATTGGCTTAGAATCACCAAACTTTGTCATTTGATGCATTTTGGGTCTGCAGAGATTGTCGGCTGAAAAGGAGGTCACTGTGACTTATTTTTGAAAATTTATGGCTATATTTAAACATATCAGGTACTAATTGGCTTAGAATCATCAAACTTTGTCAGTTGATATATCTTGGGTCCTGAAAGAAAGACAAGTGATCAGTAGGTCACCATGTCCTATTCTCAGGTCTAATTGGCTGAGAATCATCTTGGGTTCTCAGAGTGTTTCATCTAAAATGTAGGTCATGATGACCTACGTTTGGAATTTCAAGGCTTTATCTAAATATACAGGATACATAGAGTTTTCAAATAGAAGTGATGGTTGTACAGTTTATCAGAAGAGCGATTCAAGGCCCTTGGGCCTCTTGTATAGAACATATGTTTAGTACATTGTAACTATTTAACTTTTTTAAGAACTCATCTTTGTGTAAAATATTGCATCATTTGTTGTGATAACTTCTGCAGCAGTTTTCAAGATAAGTTTTTGTTTAGCATATCAATTATACATATGATGTACACTGAAATAAGATTTTGATATTAGATCATTTTTATGGGAGAAATCCCAGTTGTCCAACTGAGTAATTTACATGCAGAATATTTGATTTATTCGTTTTGGGGTTTTTAAAATATTTTTTTTTCTTTTTTGCAGCTTGATTTTGGGGAATTATTGAGAAAAATTGCTTTTGAAGTAACATGGGTTAACAGACCGATTTTAAAAGTCACAACAGAGAGGCATCCCCTGAAATGATCACCAAGGATAGTTAATGTTGATTATTGCCCTGGAAATGATTATGCTCTTAGATTTAACATTTACAAAAACAATTGTGTACTGATTGCTTAGTTACTTGCTTGGATACTTTGAGGGAACTTTAACAGTAACCGTTGCTCAGGATTCATGTTTACCAAAGAAACTCGCAATAACTCGGGGACATTTCATGCTCCTACGATCAGGATACAACAGTTTCCTGACCATTCACAGACAAGAGCATCAGGAGTTCAAGCTGAAGCAATCCACAATTCCCTCTTACTACCACATGGGGGAAGAACTAGACACCAAAATGTTGTAATTTTTCATAGAGCTGTGAATATGGACTAAATATGGACTAAATTGCTCATTATACAATACAAAATAAAGTTGTTATTGTTCAGTTAAAATATGTCTTGTTTTTGAGGTAATATTTCTAGATAACTCTCTGCTTTTAATTCTCTGCTTCTGAATAAAAAATTCTTCTGAATGCTACATAGGGAAGGTATTAGAGAAATTTTGTTATTTTTAGGAAGCTTTAAAAATAGACCAAAATGCTCATTACTTAAAACTTTTTGGAATATGGGCTATATTTCTAGAACCCCTTGGCCAATTTTTGCCACAGAGTATCCTTGGCCCAAGGACTTTCATTTTGTACCTAAAATAGGGCTGTAACTCTTAAACAAGGGGAGATAATTAGGGAAATAAAAACAAAGATAGTGGTTGCTAATATATCCGTTCAAGAAGCACTGGGCAGATTATCACCAAACGTACACAGGATGAGGAGGTGTTGTAGATTAAAAAATGTTCAAAACATCACTCTGAGGCAAATGACATGTCCTCAAGGTATTTTAATTGTAGATTAAAAATTGTTAAAGACAATACTCTGAGGCAAATGCCATGTTCTTAAGGTATTTTACCTAACAAAATTGATATGTTGTTAAAACTTTTATATTGTGACCACTATAATGACTAGGATAATCAAATCTTTTAAATTGATGCATCTTGGGACTTCATGTTATGCAGACTCAAAAGTAGGTCATGGTGACCTACTTTTTAGCTAACCTCGACGAAGTCGAGATGAGCTTATGCTATACCGTCTGCGTTAGCGTCGGCGTCCCGGTTATAGTTTTAGGAGCAAGTCCATTCCCAAGTAACTATTAACCCTACCTGGACCAAACTTGCATGGATGATTAATCTAGGGATGGACACTACCACAATTGCTTCGGATGCTGATTCTGACCTACATTTTCCAGACGAGTGACCAGGTTTAAGTTTTTGGAGTAGATCCATTCCCAAGTAACTATAAGCCCTACCTGGACCAAACTTGCATGGATGATGCATCTAGGGATGAACACTACCATACTTGCTACAGATGCTGGATCTGACCTAGATTTTCCAGATGAGTGACCAGGTTAAAGTTTTTGGAGTAGATCCATTCCCAAGTAAATATTAGCAATACCTTGAACAAACCTGCATGGAGGATGCATCTAGGGATGGACACTACCACACTTGCTTCGGATGCTGGATCTGACCTACATTTTCCAGATGAGTGGCCAGGTTAAAGGATTTGGAGCAGGTCCATTCCCAAGTAACTACTAGCTCTACCTTGAACAAACTTGCATGGGTGATGCATCTAGGGATGGACACTATCACACTTGCTTTGGATGCTGGACCTGACTTAGATATTCCAGATGAGTGACCAGGTTAAAGTTTTTGAAGCAGGTCCATTCCCAAGTAAATATAATCCCTCACTTGTCCAAGCTTGCATGGATGATGCATCTAGGGATGTACGTTAACCCACCTGCTTCGGATGCTGGATTCGACATAGATTTTCTACATGAGTAAATTTTAGCCATATTTTAACCAAATTAGTTTCTCTAGTTTCCCAGATATAGCCCTCCAGTTTTAAGGCCTACTATATAATACTATATGAATAAACCTCGGGCTCGGGGACATCGAAGTCCCCTGTCTGGAGGTGTGAGATTTTGAGGCCAGAGTACTAGTGGTCAGTTACCACTTCTATGAAAAAATGGTGATGGTACCGTCTCTAGTTTCCCAGATATAGCCCTCCAGTTTTAAGGCCTACTATATAATACTATATGAATAAACCTCGGGCTCGGGGACATCGAAGTCCGCTGTCTGGGGGAGTGAGATTTTGAGGCCAGAGTACTAGTGGTCAGTTACCACTTCTATGAAGAAATGGTGATGGTACTGCCTCTAGTTTCCAATAAATAGCCCCCCCAGTTTTAAGGCCTACTATATAATACTATATGAATAAACCTCGGGCTCGGGGACATCGAAGTCCGCTGTCTGGGGGTGTCAGATTGTGAGGGCAGAGTACTAGTGGTCAGTTACCACTTCTATGAAAAAATGGTGATGGTACCGTCTCTAGTTTCCCAGATATAGCCCTCCAGTTTTTAGGCCTACTATATAATACTATATGAATAAACCTCGGGCTCGGGGACATCGAAGTCCGCTGTCTGGGGGTGTCAGATTTTGAGGCCAGAGTACTAGTGGTCAGTTACCACTTCTATGAAAAAATGGTGATGGTACCGTCTCTAGTTTCCCAGATATAGCCCTCCAGTTTTTAGGCCTACTATATAATACTATATGAATAAACCTCGGGCTCGGGGACATCGAAGTCCGCTGTCTGGGGGTGTGAGATTTTGAGGCCAAAGTACTAGTGGTCAGTTACCACTTCTATGAAAAAATGGTGATGGTATCGTCTCTAGTTTCCCAGATATAGCCCTCCAGTTTTTAGGCCTACTATATAATACTATATGAATAAACCTCGGGCTCGGGGACATCGAAGTCCGCTGTCTGGGGGTGTGAGATTTTGAGGCCAGAGTACTAGTGGTCAGTTACCACTTCTATGAAAAAATGGTGATGGTATCGTCTCTAGTTTCCCAGATATAGCCCTCCAGTTTTTAGGCCTACTATATAATACTATATGAATAAACCTCGGGCTCGGGGACATCGAAGTCCGCTGTCTGGGGGTGTGAGATTTTGAGGCCAGAGTACTAGTGGTCAGTTACCACTTCTATGAAAAAATGGTGATGGTATCGTCTCTAGTTTCCCAGATATAGCCCTCCAGTTTTTAGGCCTACTATATAATACTATATGAATAAACCTCGGGCTCGGGGACATCGAAGTCCGCTGTCTGGGGGTGTGAGATTTTGAATCCAGAGTACTAGTGGTCAGTTACCACTTCTATGAAACAATGGTGATGGTATCGTCTCTAGTTTCCCAGATATAGCCCTCCAGTTTTTAGGCCTACTATATAATACTATATGAATAAACCTCGGGCTCGGGGACATCGAAGTCCGCTGTCTGGGGGTGTGAGATTTTGAGGCCAGAGTACTAGTGGTCAGTTACCACTTCTATGAAAAAATGGTGATGGTACCGTCTCTAGTTTCCCAGATATAGCCCTCCAGTTTTTAGGCCTACTATATAATACTATATGAATAAACCTCGGGCTCGGGGACATCGAAGTCCGCTGTCTGGGGGTGTGAGATTTTGAGGCCAGAGTACTAGTGGTCAGTTACCACTTCTATGAAAAAATGGTGATGGTATCGTCTCTAGTTTCCCAGATATAGCCCTCCAGTTTTTAGGCCTACTATATAATACTATATGAATAAACCTCGGGCTCGGGGACATCGAAGTTCGCTGTCTGGGGGTGTGAGATTTTGAGGCCAGAGTATTAGTGGTCAGTTACCACTTCTATGAAAAAATGGTGATGGTATCGTCTCTAGTTTCCCAGATATAGCCCTCCAGTTTTTAGGCCTACTATATGATACTATATGAATAAACCTCGGGCTCGGGGACATCGAAGTCCGCTGTCTGGGGGTGTGAGATTTTGAGGCCAGAGTACTAGTGGTCAGTTACCACTTCTATGAAAAAATGGTGATGGTACCGTCTCTAGTTTCCCAGATATAGCCCTCCAGTTTTTAGGCCTACTATATAATACTATATGAATAAACCTCGGGCTCGGGGACATCGAAGTCCGCTGTCTGGGGGTGTGAGATTTTGAGGCCAGAGTACTAGTGGTACGTTACCACTTCTATGAAAAAATGGTGATGGTATCGTCTCTAGTTTCCCAAATATAGCCCTCCAGTTTTTAGGCCTACTATATAATACTATATGAATAAACCTCGGGCTCGGGGACATCGAAGTCCGCTGTCTGGGGGTGTGAGATTTTGAGGCCAGAGTACTAGTGGTCAGTTACCACTTCTATGAAAAAATGGTGATGGTATCGTCTCTAGTTTTCCAGATATAGCCCTCCAGTTTTTAGGCCTACTATATAATACTATATGAATAAACCTCGGGCTCGGGGACATCGAAGTCCGCTATCTGGGGGTGTGAGATTTTGAGGCCAGAGTACTAGTGGTCAGTTACCACTTCTATGAAAAAATGGTGATGGCACCGTCTCTAGTTTCCCAGATATAGCCCTCCAGTTTTTAGGCCTACTATATAATACTATATGAATAAACCTCGGGCTCGGGGACATCGAAGTCCGCTATCTGGGGGTGTGAGATTTTGAGGCCAGAGTACTAGTGGTCAGTTACCACTTCTATGAAAAAATGGTGATGGTACCGTCTCTAGTTTCCCAGATATAGCCCTCCAGTTTTTAGGCCTACTATATAATACTATATGAATAAACCTCGGGCTCGGGGACATCGAAGTCCGCTGTCTGGGGGTGTGAGATTTTGAGGCCAGAGTACTAGTGGTCAGTTACCACTTCTATGAAAAAATGGTGATGGTACCGTCTCTAGTTTCCAAGATATAGCCCTCCAGTTTTTAGGCCTACTATATAATACTATATGAATAAACCTCGGGCTCGGGGACATCGAAGTCCGCTGTCTGGGGGTGTGAGATTTTGAGGCCAGAGTACTAGTGGTCAGTTACCACTTCTATGAAAAAATGGTGATGGTATCGTCTCTAGTTTCCCAGATATAGCCCTCCAGTTTTTAGGCCTAGTATATGATACTATATGAATAAACCTCGGGCTCGGGGACATCGAAGTCCGCTGTCTGGGGGTGTCAGATTTTGAGGCCAGAGTACTAGTGGTCAGTTACCACTTCTATGAAAAAATGGTGATGGTACCGTCTCTAGTTTCCCAGATATAGCCCTCCAGTTTTTAGGCCTACTATATGATACTATATGAATAAACCTCGGGCTCGGGGACATCGAAGTCCGATGTCTGGGGGTGTGAGATTTTGAGGCCAGAGTACTAGTGGTCAGTTACCACTTCTATGAAAAAATGGTGATGGCACCGTCTCTAGTTTCCCAGATATAGCCCTCCAGTTTTTAGGCCTACTATATAATACTATATGAATAAACCTCGGGCTCGGGGACATCGAAGTCCGCTGTCTGGGGGTGTGAGATTTTGAGGCCAGAGTACTAGTGG